AGACGTAATTTTAACGTCGTAGCAAAAGCTAACGGCTGCAGAAGAACGGAAATCAGCCATCGTCTTCTAACGATATTGGCCTAAAAATCTCTGTATCGTGTACTTTAAAGCTAAATCAAAATCGCCAAAACAACGTCATCTGATGGGATTCATCAAAATCCAGCGTCTCTCTCGAAATGGCTCACTCTCCTCTCTTTTTTTCCTCTTAGCAGCCGGACGGCACCTCTGCCAGTGCCTTCCTCTGGCGTGTCTCCACGCAGCCCGCCTCTTTCCTTTTCGGAACTCTGCATGTCGCCTACAACCACGTCTGGCCGCAGGTCGCGCCCGCCGTGAAGCGCAGCTTCCAGGCCGCCCAAGCCGTCTTCTTCGAGCTCGACCTCACCGACCCGGCCACTCTGGCCGAACTCTCCGCTTGCCAACTGTTGCCGGGCAACGAGAGTTTGGCGGATCGTCTGCCCAGCGAACTGATCGGTCGCGTGGATCGGCATCTGGCCGGCGTGGCAGCTCGTCTGGCCGAATGGACTCGACCGGAACGTCGTCAACTGGCCGAATACCTGCTCGATAGCGCCACGTCGGCTTGGCGTAGGAAGCGGCCGATTTGGCTGCTGCTTCTCGTCAAAAGTGTGACCCGTGGCCAACTGGCCGATCGAGCGGTACCGGTGCTCGATCTCTACCTGGCGCAACAGGCGCGTCGTCTGGGCAAAGTCACTGGGCCGGTGGAGCTGGTGAAGGACCAATGCGAGCCGTTGAACCGAATCGACGATGGTCAGGTGAGCCCATCGTTTCTGTCAGACGGAACTCGGTTTCGAGTTGAAGCGGAATGAAGAGAAAGCCGACATCAGCTCCACAGAGACGAGAGGTCGTTTGGTCTCGTTTTACAACTTGTTACTATTGTCAGGAAGACCGAGTCCTCTGCCACAGGATCCATGCTCATTTCCACATCATGACCGTGGACTTGGTACTTTCCTACAACGATTGTTAGCATCAAGTTGCAATTCATCCCATGTTTGGTCTGTTGGTAGATGCAAACTTAACGGGGATACAAAAAAAGCTTCACTGGCTTTCGGAGAGCTCAAGAGAACCTAAACATATCCTCATTGTATTGACTCATCTGAGAAGGGACAAACCATATAAAAGGTATTTGGGAGGCAGGCCTATGTGAAATTGAATGGCATTAGGAGGCTTAAGCAAGTAATTATAAAAAAAAAGCCGTATTATCAGTGCCCAAATCGCCCAAAGCATTTTTTTCAAAGTTCCATTTCATCAAAAGTGATTTGATCGGGATCGGCAAAGCCGAACGATGCTGACTGAACAGTTGGTAGTGTAATCTTAATTTGACTCGTGTTCAG